TGCTGCTGCCTCCGCCGCCGCTGCTGCTGCCGCGGTGCAGTGCCAAGACTCTCGGAATAAATAAAAGCGGGCTACTGTGTATCTCTAGATACATCCAGCTAATAGCTATTATTAGTTGGCCGTTTATTTCGAAGATCACAGATGAAGCGGGGACGCCTGTCTTCTTCATTTGGTCAGCGTGTGAAACAATAATACTCCTAACAGAAAGGAGGGAGATGGGGGAGAAATAAATCCTAACATGAATCAGAAGAAATAATACCTAGCACCCCCCCCTTAATCTTTTGTGTACTCCAAATAAAAGCCTGTGTTTCCATTAAATTGGAGGGTTTAATTTTATGTGGATGGTATGATTAAAGAAAAGGTGTAGGCAGGCTGTGCTTCACCCAGATGGAGCAGAATTGTAAATCTCAAGACTTAGCTGACTATTTAGAAATTTAGGACAGCTGGTCCCTGGCCTTTAATACCAGCATAATTTATAACTAGACATGGGGGGGGGTCTCTTTCCCCATTTGGAGATGATTGTGCTATTCCTCTTTGCCTTGCTCTGGATGGTGGAGGGGGCCCTTTGCCAGCTCCATTACACGGTGCAGGAGGAGCAGGAGCATGGCACGTTCGTGGGGAATATCGCCGAGGACCTGGGCTTGGACATTACAAAACTTTCGGCTCGCCGCTTCCAGACGGCGCCCAACTCCCGCAGCCCTTACCTGGAGCTCAACCTGGAAACCGGGGTGCTCTACGTGAATGAAAAGATCGATCGGGAGCAGATCTGCAAGCAGAGCCCCTCCTGCCTGCTGCACCTGGAGGTCTTTCTGGAGAACCCCCTCGAGCTGTTCCGGGTGGAAATCGAGGTGCTGGACATCAACGACAACCCCCCCTCCTTCCCGGAGCCCGATCTCACCGTGGAGATCTCCGAGAGCGCTACGCCAGGCACCCGCTTCCCCCTGGAGAGCGCCTTCGACCCCGACGTGGGCACCAACTCTTTGCGCACCTACGAGATCACCCCCAACAGCTACTTCTCCCTCGACGTGCAGACGCAGGGGGACGGCAACCGCTTCGCCGAGCTGGTGCTGGACAAGCCTCTGGACCGCGAGCAGCAAGCGGTGCCCCGCGACGTGCTGACCGCGGTGGACGGCGGGCAGCCCCCGCAGCGCACCGGCACCGCCCTGCTCACCATCAGGGCGCTGGACTCCAACGACAACGTCCCCGCCTACGACCAGCCAGTCTATACCGTGTCGCTGCCCGAGAACTCGCCTCCGGGCACCCTGGTGCTGCAGCTCAATGCCACCGACCCCGACGAGGGCCAAAACGGCGAGGTGATCTACTCTTTCAGCAGCCACATCTCGGCCCGCGCCCGGGAGCTCTTCGGCATCGCGCCGCGCACCGGGCGGCTGGAGGTGAGCGGCGAGCTGGACTACGAGGAGAGTAGCGTGTACCAGGTGTACGTGCAAGCCAAGGACCTGGGGCCCAACGCCGTGCCGGCCCACTGCAAAGTGCTGGTGCGGGTGCTGGATGCCAACGACAACGCACCCGAGATCAGCTTCTCCACCGTCAAGGAGGCTGTGAGCGAGGCGGCGGCGCCGGGCACGGTGGTGGCCCTTTTCAGCGTCTCAGACCGCGACTCGGAGGAGAACGGGCAGGTGCAGTGCGAGCTGCTGCAGGGCGATGCGCCCTTTCGCCTCAAGAGCTCCTTCAAGAACTACTACACCAT